ATTCCAAAAATCCTCTCACATAGCCTGCATTATTGATGATGGATAGTGCAGAGGAGTTCAAAGGATCATTCTCTCAAGGGATGGAATGTTATAATATTCCTATAAGAATTATTGATCTTTATAGTTTTGAGAATTTAGTATTGGTTAAAAAATTCAAGTAGGATTTGGCAAGATATATATATAAAATTCAATATGCCATAGAGGGCAAACTCAGAGGAGGTGAACATTCGAAATTATGAAATAAGATACTTCAGAAAATTATCAACTATATGAATAATAATAAAACATGATTAATAAGCATATCTCCATCATATGTGATGACATTATGGGAAGTGATTTCCAAAGTAACTATCAAACCTAAAAGACCTATTGGGAAAGATGAACCACGATTACAAAAAGAAATAATTGTAAGATATTTATTAAAACCAGGTGAGCTAGAAGGAGAACATATGCATAGGAAAACTGACTCATACTTCTCATTGCATTTATATAAGATCGAGAAAGTCATTATAGGTAAGAATCCATCACAGCCAGTCTTATATTATCTTGAGAATGGGCTCATTGAATCTACAGCTCATTTAATAGGTCACAATCCATATTGACCATTCAAGCGAGAAGAACTTCAAGTAATCAAAAATCCTGAAAAAGTAGAGTATCCACCTGATGAATTTATATAAAAATATCATCTCTCTAGATTGATATATTTCATTCGTATTTCCAATAATGAATTTGACAGTATACAATAATATGCCAGGAAATATGGTGGAAGTATTTTAGCAAGAACTGGTCAAATTAATGATCAGAATGTATATTTTTGGTCATGTGAGAATGGTAAATATCAATTCAAGTACCTATATCCATTGATAGCTATAAAATTTGAATGGTATCTCTTATGTCATCATACCACTGAGAGACGCTATAGATATATTTTTGAGAATCTGTTAGATAAGAAATTTCTATCTTGTAAACTGTCATTTTTGAATGGAATGTAATTAGATAGATATAATGAAGAGCTAAAATTAGCATGGGAATTCCAGAGCATCCAACATTTTACCCTTAATTCAATGTTCTACAAGTGAGGAAGGATTGATTTGGAAGAACAAAAACAGCGAGATAGAAAAAACAGGAGATATGTGCTTGAGAAGATATTATATTAATTATTATACCATATGATGCAGATTTATTTTCTTACATCAAGCGTACATTGCAGAAAAAGAGGTATTTACCGACTTCTGATTCTTAGATGAGTTAGTTTTACCAATATATTTGATATAATTTTCTTTTTATATAATAAACAGATCTATAAAGATAAATAGCAATACCGTATAATAAATTATATCTATTAAACTTACCAGAAATACTAACTGAAATTTTCTCATACCTCGCTATAGATGAAGTACTATACCCAACTTTATTTGTTAATCAGTTGTGGTATTTATGCTCTGCTCCAATATTATGGAGAAAGGCTGAATTTACTGATAATTTAAAAAAATCATGTTTCTGATGGGATAAATTTAAAAAGATAGTACATACATGAAAACCTCTCTATATTTCAAAATTAACTGAACTTTATATTTCTAGATGTAAAGTCTCTAGTGGAATCTTATATCAAATTAGAGGACTGTGTCTGAATCTGCGTTATTTAACTATAAGCAACTGTCATGTATTTTCTAGTGAAATGATTAGAAAAATCGTATTTTCAAACTTAATATATCTTAAATTTCACAATAATACAATAAATACCCATAAATGTTATCATATCAAGAATAAAACAATTTGTGAGATCACATCATTATGTCTAAATTTAACTTATCTTTATTTGGGATATAGTAATAATATTTCAGATATCTCAGTAATTGAAATTACTAAGTTGTGTAAAAAAATAGAGTATATTAATATAGGTGATTTGGGTATTACCAATATATCATTAAAAGAAATTGCTCACTTATGCCCAAACCTCTGACATCTTCACCTAAGTAATTGTGAGAAGATAACAGATGATGGTATTTACGCTATAGCTACTTCACATCCAAATATGGTTAGTTTTTCTTTTGCCGATGAAGAAGGTGAATTCATTATAGATAATATAGCTATTTCTGATACATCCGTGAGAATAATTGCAGACTTGTGCCCTAAACTTCAATATCTCAATGTATCTTGATGTCATATATCTGATGAATCTATTTGTGTAATAGTGTGATCATGCCCAAAACTTGAATAGCTTTATCTTGAAGGGTGTGATATCACTGATAAATCTATGTTTGTATTAGCAAATTTGTGTAATCTTCAGAAGCTTGTTATTGCTGATTGTGATGAAATCAGCATGAATGCAATTATAATCTTACAGAATAAAAATCCCACTCTCAATATTTTCAGTTGGTATTCAGATACGAATAGTGAGTCAGATACAGATGGTGTAATACAAGTTTGAATCTATGATTTATCAGAATAAAAAATCCTGTAAATATATGTATACGGCAATATAGATCATTATTTTTCAGGTATAATAATTAGTGATTTAGCTTGATCAAGATAAAAATCAAAAAGCTTAAACCGGTTGAGAGGTTTGCATATCATATTAATGAATATAAAAATCCAGAAAAATATAATTCAAAAAATTCTATTCCTCAATGGTCCTTCATATGCTTAATCTGCGGTCAAACTAACTCAGGCAAAACTACTGAAGTAGTTAATCTTTTACTTAGAAATAAACTCTTTCAGATATTTAATGGGAAAAAAGGAGGAAGCCAAGATATTAAGTGTGATGATGTTATACTTATTGAACATTATCTCAAGGAATCCAAATATATATATCTTAAATCAGCATATCAAATAATTGCAAATGGTCCAGAACCACACCGTGAAGATATTACATTTTGGACTATGAAGCCTGATAAAATTCCAAAGCTGAATTCATTTTCTCCAGAAAGAGATACTGTAGCTATATTTGAGAATGTATGTACTGAACCAAAGAAAATTCAAGAAAAGATTATACCTTATTTTACTGAGGGACGCCATTCTAATGTTTCTTTGATGTATATATCACAAAGCTATTTTGACTGTCCAAAACTAATAAGAAAAAATTTAAAATATGTTGTACTGTTTAATAGCTCTTGCACTTCAGATAAGCTAAGCAGAATACTTTATTTATATGTTAACAATTGGCGCAGTATCTATAAAATTATTAATAAGTATTTATGTGAACAAAAATTTATTGTCTTTGATTTAAGTATAACCTCTGAGCATCCACATAAACTGAGACTCGGTTGGGATATACCAATTAGTAATCTTGATGAATAGAGCGTGACTTCAGATATGCGAGATATTTTTCTGTCTCTTATAATTCTATCTTTTTTTCCTCAACCTCATATCATAATTTTTTATTAGCTTTGACTCTATTCTCATACTCCATAGTAATTTCTCACATAAATTTACCAAAAGTTTTTTCATTATGTTCCAGTAATCGTTGATATAAAATATTGACTTCTTTTTTAATCTGACGATTGATCTCTTTCTCATTTACAAAGCAAGGGCATTTATGTACCTGATCACATGTACAAATCAGGATGGTATCTGAAGTTTATATTTCTTGGTTAATCATGTCTATAGCGGAGCTAGTATCAAGACACATATTATACAATAAATCTTTAAGTAATGGCCAACTTTGTTTCTGGTGCTTTAACTTTTTTTGATATCTATTTACCTCATGTCTTAAAAATGACTCGACTAATGGATTTACCTTACTAGCCTCATCCTCTATCATTGGATTTTGCTTCTGAGAAATTAGTCACATCCAGGCTTCATATGCTATCAAGAGAGGCAATTAATGAATCAGATCTGAATATGCTTTATTGAATTTCATGGCTCTTTGAGTCGTTGCTTTACAACTGATATATAGTATCGAGAAACTAATATTATATTTTATAATGCATAAAAAATTGGAATCTTTCATGAAAATTATGAAACATATATCAAGAAAAAAATAGCTATTAATCATCACGAAATAGCAGTGAATAAAAGTCTAAAGTACCAGCCCTCAGGGATACCTCAGATGATTTTATTTTAAAGATATATATATATGAATAAGTTATATAAATAATAGATATATTAATCAAATAAATAGATATGTGTATTATGCATTGTTAATTTGACGCATCTCTTCTCGAACCATCCATAATAATTTATAATGTAAAGCGAGCTCTGTAGCTGTTAAACCCTCGGGGCGATACATAAATTCAAGCCACTTCTATGATATGATATTTACAGCTCGAATTTTTTTTGCCATCTCTCGAACATGTTTAACCCTTTTAATAGCATTATTTAATCACATTTCGTATCGATCAAAAGCTATCTTTGTGAAATAATTGATATTATCTTTGGGTTTATCTTTAAGTTCCATATATTCTTCAAAGCTCATTTCACAAAACTTATTTCCAATACATTGAGAACGCCAATGCTCTACCTTTTATAATTATGATAATCATTAGATTTTTGATCAACATATACAAGCTGATCGCAAGAATGACATATAGCAATATTTACTTTAACAGAATGATCAAGATCACCTTCCCATAAATACTCCATCTTTCTAGCAATAAGATATCGCTTATGGTAATCAGTTAATTTATTGTTATTTCTATAAATTACCAATTGATCCCAAATTCGGTTCTTCCAATCAGATGGTGTTTCCCCATCATGAATTACTGGGAATTGACAATTATCTCTCCATTCGGTATCGCTCAAAACTGGGTATTTATCTGTATAGACCATATTTAACGATTAAGTGATTTAACGTATTATAACGTTTTAGAGGATTATATTGTATTTAGGATTATTAGACCTATTTGATTTGGTTCGATATATATGATTAAAACCGGATTCATTTTTTGTGCATTCGAAATAAACTTATATTAAAGGTTCAGGAATATATAAAATGGTTGAATTACGTGAAAAACTATCTCAATATATAGGCTTTAAACCTGAAGAGATTCGTCTCCCAATCACATAGATAAGTCAGGGAAAATTTGTATAAATTGAGTATGGATTTCTTCCCATTCTTTCATAAGATCATCAAGCCATACAGTACTTAATCTACTCTTTAGTATACTGCGACGTAATAACTCTTCACCTACCAGCCTATCCCGATCTGTTAAAAATTTATGATATTTTCTGGTATCTTCATTCCTTTTTATTCCTCCGCGATAAAGACGTATATCTCTTTCTAAGTCAGCAGGAAAACACCCCATTATCCACATTTTTTTCTCAGCCTCAGTAATAATAGAAAATTTCTCAGGATCCATTTTATGTTCGATGGCATATTGACATAAGCCAGCCTCTGGTTGATAAAGGCGGGTTTTGTTTAGTACCCTTACTTGAATTTCCGGCAAACTCTGTATAGCGATTATAACTTTCTTTTGATCGATACGAAATGGACAATTAAGAAAATAGTGATCATCTTTACCGAGACAGCTCCAATCACCCCATATACCTCGACGTGTATGTACCTCATTGCATACTGGGCATTTGGCTTCTGAATCGGTATATTTAAATACATCTCGATACCATGCATTCGAATTAGTGTAAGACAGGAAAGGGAAGCGTTTATGTACTGTTTCATGGATTATACCTTTCTCTTCTGGAAACTTATAAATCTTGATGATACAGTCTCGTGAAAGATGATTATCAGCATTTTCGATTTGTTTAGATTCGGAAGTTTTAGAGTTTATCCAGGGATCAAGCCCAGTTTCTTCCGTATATGCTCTATATAAGATTAAACGAATTTTATCAGTCAAAGGAGTTGGTAAATCATCCAATTCGACATACCATTTATAGTAGTCATCAGTTAACATCTTGCCGGAGGCAGTTATGGGGTGACTAGACGAATAATCTTGTAAAATAGTGTTAGAAGACATGTTATCATTTTATAAGAATACAAGTCAATTCAAAATAGCGTGGCTGTCAAAGAAAAAAAAAATCCTTCAGAGAAAGTGCACTTCGTGCATTAGTAGAGTCAACATAACTTATGCTGTTATATCAATTTCATGCCCCCCACACTTAATAAAATAGGATCCAGCTTCATATCTACCTCTTACACTTTTCTCATCCTTATGACTTAGCTTACACACTGGGCATAATGATTTCTCAATAACTCCATAATAATCAAATTTTTTGTTACTAAATTGTTTATATAAATCAGAATATCGCCACAATATCTTATTACGAAAATAATCACGATCATGAGTTGGATTATTCTGCTTTTCAGGTAAGGTCTTGAGCTGAGGTGTAGATGGTATACTTGCCTCAGCCTTCGGCAAATCACTTGGACCTGAAGAATTAGAGATATGAGTTGGGGGGATAGATGATGTAGCTGAAACGCTTACCTTTACATTAATCTGATCGTGACATTTTGTCACGGTTTTTGAAGTCACCTCATTTATAATATGTTGAATTTGAGTATTTTTTAATCCCGAAATAGTACTTGCACTATATGTAACAAGTTTGATCTTATCTGTACCTACTCCTCCTTCCCCAAATAGCTTAAGAATTTTTCTCGCTCTTTCGGTTTTCTTACGCAAATTTGCATCTGTAATATTAAGTAGAAAAGGTTTCATTTCCTTATATATTTTTGATCTTGCTGTTTTATCTTTAATCTCGCCATCTGCTGTAAGACTTTTAGCCTTATTTTCGAATTCTAGAGAATAATAATACCAACATAAAATTTGTTTCTGACCCGATTTAATTGCTTTATCAAATAAGTCTGATAAACTTTGTACAGAGCCTGGAACTATATCCTGTATACCACTAACATTTAACTCACCATTGTTTCCGTTAATTGAAGATAAAGGATTGATTTCGGAGACAATACTCTGTTCGTGGTCATAGGTTATCTCTTGTATTAAACCTTCTACGATTTGATTATCTGATTCGAGTGTTTCGGAAGTGGTACCAGAATTGTCAAGGGCATTATTTTGATCGTGACATTTTGTCACGGTTTTTGATTCACATGATGTAGATGTCATTGTCTTTTCAGATTCCGCTGAAGAAACGGTTTGATTGACTAAAGATAAGTCTGAATTTTGATCCTGAAGCTTCTTCTCCCTAATGCTCTGAATTATCTCTTTACTAACCTGTTCCTTATACATTGAATCCAGAAATTCATTTTCTTCTTTTTCTTCCAATGATATGGTTTCTACGGGGATAGAAGATGTGGAGGTCTCTAATTCCTGTTGTGTGTCGGAATTACCGGAGGCAGTCACAAAGTGGCTAGAATTTGAAGTGTTATCGGGTATATCAGATGCCGACACATCCTCAGTTTGTAAGACTATCTGTTCAGGAATACTATTAGAATTTACTGGATACTGTGAGACACTAGTAAAAATTTTTTCTTTATCTCTTTGTTCTAAATTCGTTATTCTGGCTTCATGTTCTTCTAAAGCTTGCTTTAACTTCACATTATCACCTTTAATCTCAGTATTTTCCACTTTAACTTTCACATTCTCAGCTTTAAGTTCGATATTCTCAACCTCAACCTCAGCAAACCTCTTTCTAAGGTTATCAATTTCGGATACAAGCCTGGAATTCAATTCCTTCAATGAATCAATTGTGGATTGCATGTTTAGTAATATATTGTATATGTTCTGTCATTTATTTAAAATGTGTAACTAAAAGTAACAGAATTTCGGCGACGGGCCGTCGTTGAAAATTTCAATAAAATTTTGCAAATCATTTGTGTTCTGTAATAGCTTTACAGAATCAAGACTCCAATTACTTGATCGTTTCATTATTTATAAAATTACAAGAAATGGTGATCGGATTTCGAAATATAATTTTGAATTTATTTCACATTGTAAAATCGCAGTCGATATCATTTTTTTGAATTTGTTGATCTAAATAGTGTATTATCTAAATCATTTAGATCGATTTTCTCATGAAGTGGTGAATCCAGATGACGCATCAAATCGCGACTCGTCGAAGTGGAACCGGGAGATGGAGAACTGGGACATGAGGAATCGGGAGACGGAGATTTCGGTAAGGATTGGTTTTTATCTTTTTTCTTTTGTGGAGTGTCGTCTACCGAAGTTATGCAAATATTATTATTATCTACCATAACATTAGTGGTTGCTTTATTTATTGCTCTGGCTGTTGACAAGACATCTGTCTGTAGAAAAAAAAAAATTATTATTTGCTTGATAAAGTTATCGACAAGTATGTTCAATACTCTACCTGCCAATCCATCAAACATATTATGTCCCTTGAAAACTGTTCGAAATCACTAAAGGTGACAGGTATTTTGATGCGCCCGAATTGTTGTAGCATGTAGATTTTTGGCAGTGGTCGAATTAAATACTTAATTTCAACAAATCCGTCTATAAAGAAACATATGTCAAAAAAGTAATTTTGTACGATCTAACTCCCAATTATAATCACTTACCAAATGACTGCACTAAGTAGATGCGTGCACGCTCCTTGGGTACCTTTCCTAACAATACATTTAAGGTTCTCATAGCGTTTCGACAAAGCTTAAGCGAATCACCATCTCTCTTGGACATGGGAGTTGTTCTTCCACGTGAAAATTCAATAATGACGATAGTTTGACCTTTGCCTCTTGTGCTAATAACTTTATATAACCCATCGAATTTATGTTTTTTTGTATCTGGAGTAACTTGTTCAATCCTTAGTTAAAGAAATCAATTAATTAGTAAGGTTATAATTTAAAATTTAAAATTTAGATTGATACTTACCAAGCAACATCCAACTCGTCTTGGTACATCCTAAATAACCTATTTAAAATGTAAATTATTGTGTCTATAGCATAAGTTCTTTCTAAATTGAGGCCTTTGTACTCGACTCTCATTGGTGCTTCTAAGCGTAAAGAACTATTTTCGAAAAAAATTAATCATAAGGATTTTTGATTAATGTTAACTGTCAACATAAGAATACTTACAAATGTGTTAGTATATGCTGGGCAATATCATGCGCTTCGTGATAAAAAGAATCAAATCTCCCAGTAACACAGGATTTGCGAACAATTGTTGGAATATTGGTTCGAGTACAGGTTTCTTCCGTGAATTGGTTGATATATTCCGTAAATTCCGGAGTAGGTTTCCAAATTTTTTTCTGGAGGACCCCTTCAAGCCAAGAAATTTGATCCTTATTCAAGGACTTTTTAATCTGTTTGTGCGTCTCATCGTCTGATAAATCTATAATACCGTTAAGGGATACTGATGTCAAAAAATCTTTTCCGACTTTCGTGTCTTTTTCTTGGCGTGCGACCAGAATTTTGAATAACTTTTTACGGATTTCTACTTCGTCCTAGGAGATTTAGTATGAGTGAGCTGAGCATAGTTATTATATGTACAAGGTAGCAAATGCCAAAATACCTCGGTAAGACTCTTGATTTCTGCATCATCTTCAGTTATGTTAATCACTTCTGTATCGATCTCTTCATTAGATTCAGAATGAGATTCTGCGATTATTTCACTATCTTCAGTTATGTCTGTCTTTTCATTAGATTCAGAATGAGATTCTGCGATTATATCATTAGTGACTTTGGTTCTCCTTTTTGGTGGTTCGCAAAATGCATACGGCTCATCCAGCACACGTTTCCTAAATTTTTCTATAATTGATGTTTGTAATGAAATGCCTTGATCTACGGTCTTCTTCGTCGCATCCAAAATATGTTGGGTCTGTTTAAGGCACATTTTGTTCTCCATTTCGGTCTATTTGCAGACATTATGAAGTATTGTCATAAACGAAAGCCACTAAACTTCGAAAACATCATAAGGACAACATACTTGCTCCTTTTCAAGTAACTTGCATCTCTCCTCAAGTAATCTGATCTCCTTAAAAATATCTTGTTTTTTCGCTTGTAATTCCCAGAAAAGTTTTACCTCTGCCGAGTTTTTATCGCGCTTATAAATATTAATTTTTAAGGAGAGAAAGAGAGAATGGCGATTTATTAATTTTATCCTAACTTGCATGTAAGAAATAACATAAAGCTAACTACAAACAAGTTAGCAACCTTTCCCACTACCAGTAAGCAACCAGCATGGTAGTTTGTGACAACACAGTACGAATACACTACACACTAACACACCAACAAGTAAGCAACCTTTCCCCTGCCAGTAAGCAACCAACAAGGTAGTTGGCGATGGCATAGTGTCAAATCAACAAATAAAACTTATACTTGCCTTGAACTTTTGTTTCCATATCAACACTTTCTTCCCAATTTCAGATTCTTCATCATAGTATTTCCTAATACTCTTCAGTTCATCCTTGTACCGACGATGCTCCACTTCACTATCTTCCAAATTACTTTGGCGTAATCGGAAATTCAGGAATTTATTAAGCGAAGGTTCCTCCGTGTCCTTCCAAAAGTCTATATTTTTACAAACACGTTACGCTGTAAAGCATTGTCATAAGGAGATAATAGTACAGATTTCTTACCACTGTATTTCAAATCGTCGATACAATTAGGTAAAAGGTACATTTTTATTTATAAAACGGGTATTCTGTTTCACTCGGCCCAACCAATTATATTGATAAAAACTTAATTTATTTATTCGATATGAGGTGCAGTAATCACGTGATGATCACGTTGGCGTGACGGTTCGTCACGCGATCGGCAAAGAGTTAGTTATTTTATCTATAATAGCTTGGGTTTGAGAGATGGTTAGACTAGAAATTGCATCAGCACTATACGATTTAATTCGCTTAATTTTATCCATTCCTATTTTCTTAAACAGATTATATATTGCTTTAGCTCTTTGGATTTTTTTACACAAAGTGTCTTTTGTAATCCCAGAGAGGTGATCCCTAATTTCATTATACACTTTCATTCTAGCCTGTTGGTCGCCAATCCTACTATCATTATCTCTAATATCCTTAATCTTTTTTTTCGAAATCTTCAGCATAGTAATACCAGCAATGAATTCCTTCTTGATAGGCTTGAGTTACATGATTTTCTGCCTGAAGTGCTTTTTAATATAATTGGGCTAAAGAATTCTCACTTTTCCCAGTATTGATCTTACCAGTCTCGCCTTTGATGGATGTAGATAGTTCTCATATTAAACCCAGTAATTTATCTTGATCTTGGGCAATTTTGAGAGATGATTATCTAGATGAACAGACTTGATTAGTATCATTTTCTTCTATGATAATATCATTTTCATTATTTACATTTGACTGATCCTCAGAATTGGAGGGTTTTAACTGCTTTGTAGAGTTTGGCATATTTCTTCTATTTAATTTTGATTCCTTTCTGATAGACTTGTACTTCATAAGTCCTTTTAACACTTTGAATAATTTGTAAAGATATATCTCTAAAGTCAACATTTCTTAGATTTTGTTTTGGAGTTTCAATAGGGGTCCAGGCTTCTTTTGTGATAATTTTAATACTATTATTATCTTGAAATTCTTATTGTCTGGAGTTTACAGTATTCCAATCATCATATTGTCACATGAGAAAAGTCTTCTTTTCCAAGTATTATTTTTCAAATTCACTTTCAGAATCTTCTTCTGATTCATCTTCTT